GTCTTTATGCCAAATTGATCGTACAATAAAAGTAGAAATTACAGAAGAATGAAAATGGAATACAGAGAAAGTAAAGAGAAACAAATAAGAATATTAAACTGGAAAGGTTTGCTCTGGAAATAAATTTGGCAGCACTTTGTTGTATGAATGCAGCTCCCCTTCTGAGGTTCCCTTCTTCCCCTTTTATAGAAATGGAATTCTAACGGTTATCATTGGAGAGGGTGGACTTTGAGGCAGAAAAATCAGGGAGTAGTGGTCCACTATTTGGGACTTGGAACTGCTTCTTTAACGTGCAATTGAAGTGGGGCGTTTTTGCCTGCATGACGGTCGTCACAAGGTGTGACGGTCGTCACCCGTGTGACGGTCGTCATGGAGCTGTGACGGTCGTCACATCAGCAAAAACAACCTTCTGCGCTTTTCATGATGTTTTCACTCCTTTTTCGTCCATATTTCATCTGAGATTGCTTCTTTTCTTCATGTTGCCTTGTTTAGACGTGATCGTTGAATACCTGCAAAACATCAGACAAATAACACGGAAATAACCCGAAATCGGATCGAAAACGGTTAAACTTTAGTTGAATTATGCATCAAAATATATATACGATTTCGTGTTATCAACTGTTAATGGACAAAGATCGAAAATCTATCTTGGCGGCGAAGTTAATTGCAAAAAATTGCGCCATTTTTCTTGGTGATTTGTGAAGTCACCATGGACCGTCGAGCTCAAACGAAGTTAAACAAAACGCTTGTTGGGAGGCACCCCAACATTGTAAGTATTTTGTTTATGTTGTTTTAAGTCTTTAATTGTGTGGGAAAATTGTTTGAATCGGTTGTAAAAAAATCAGACATTGCAGCAACCTAGTTTTCTGTTTCTGGTGTAATTCACTGAGAGAGATGCAACTTCGCTGGGCGGATTTTTTTTGCTGGCCTTTCGCGTCAGCTTCGCCGGGCGAAGAGTGCGTGAGCACTTAAAGTAGGTATGTTTATTTTATTTTTTTTGTGCTGAATAGTGTGACCCACGTCTTCACTCTTATAGAGTGGACCTTCGTAACCCGTGTCCCATTTTCTAGATGTAGGATAGGTCGAAGAAAGTTACCCGACGTGATAGAGATTCATGACCCGTGTCCATACTCCCTAAAAATGGGATCAGTCGGGGAATGATACTCTGTAATTGTATTCCCGAATAGTGATTCATTGAGTTATGTGAACTCGAGTGTTGGTGTTTCCATACGAGATGAAAAACCCTCAGACACTTAAGTCTCAGTATATTGTGTAAGTGTACAGATGTTTTGTAAAGTCAACTAGCTTAAGTTAAGGTATCAATTGATAGTCCTTTTAGAGTCGAGTGGACCCATAAGATATAGGATCTCACGATATTATAATTGTTGATTTTCAGGTAGTTATGAGCAGGTTAGAGGCAAGGGAAAGATTACTTAAAGAAGTTTGAGACTTTGTTGTTTCATTATCTTTCCACTATGTACTTTTGTGGATTTTATACATAGATTCTAGTTTTAATTAGGCACTATTATATATCAATTGTCGTGTATTGTATATTATCTTTTTGGATATGTATATATAATGATGCTGATATGCACTTATGTTGTATCAATACCAATCTACATTGTGTATAATGTAATTTTAGATGCATATATTATATGTGGATGTTATAGTATAAATGACTTTTCTGGTTGATTATGTTCACACACAAAACATTGTTCTAACTATCAAAGATTTTTATTCTACACTACTTGTCCACACCCAACATTTGTATACTTAGCTCTTTTTTCATGTTGTAACTGAGACCACCTCCCAGGGTCTCAACTTTAAACCCAACACATAAAACGTCTTTATTTGGTCTAATCACATAGATGATACTTACATTACTAAGAGTAGCTACTCTTGGATCCTCCACAACAAAGAAAACTTTTATTATTCTATCAATGTCACTCAATCATTGAGGATATGGAAATTATGCTTTCCAAAAAAGATAAAGTTTTTCTCTTGGCTTGCTTATAACAAGTCTATCCCCCCTCTCTCTCTCTCCCTCACACACACACACACACACACACACACACACACACACACACACACACACACACACACACACACACACACACACATACACACACACACACACATACACACACCATAGAAACATAGCGCCCTTAGCTTTATGATCTAGATGTGGCCTTAAAGAGTAGACTTTCGTTCATGTGTTCTTGTTTGTATGAATTCCATAAACTTTTGGTTTCACCTTAAGTTTAATCATCCAGTTTTCTTTTTGAACCTAGATGATCATTCTTGGATAAAAAATGAGATACACGATATCTGTTATAACCTCTGTTGGGGGAATTTGATGGGCTTGGAGAAACAGTAACATTGTTTGTATTTCTCACGAAACTTTTCCAAGGTATATATTTTCTCTATCTTCCCACTCCATGGAAAATTATTTCACCACTTGCTTCAACAAACCTCTTACAAAGCATATAGACAATAACTTCATCACTTAGAATTCCAAAAAGTACTCTTGCACTATTAATAATGTAGATGGAAGATGTAATGATACTCCAAATCATATTGGCATTGGAGGTACCTATCGTACAAACTTGGCATTGTGATTTCTCTAGATTCATACTAAATTCTTCAGATATCCTCCATGCAAAACTTTGGGTCATTCGTCAAAGTCTTTCTCTAGCCAAAGGTATGAACATTACTGACTTAACTTGCTACTTTGATTCATCCCTCAATATTAGCCTTATTGAGTACTCATTGAATAAGTACCATAAACATACTATGTTTATTCAAAGTATTGAGGATATTATTCTTGAAAGCGCAGTTATTAGAGTCATTCACACTCTCAGATAATGTAACAAAAATGTTGATTTCATGGCGAGATTCAAAACCTATGCTGGCATCAATTTTCTAATTCACTCATCTTCTCCTCAAGGGTTGAGTAACATCCTTGCAGCGGATGCGACTGAAACTTCATTTTTAAGAATTTAATTTTTCCTTGTGTTCCTTAGCCTTGCAATAAAAAAGGTGGTCAAGTATGGGTGTTCACGATGCAATTTGGTCAATTTTGACACCAAAAGTCATCCAAACTCCAAGGGGAAAAAATGTGCAGTTCAATTTGGTTTGGTTGGTTTTTAGAAATAAAATCGAACCAAACCAAACCAAACTAATGCGGTTTGGATTGATTCGGTTGTTTCGGTTTCTTAAAAGATTTTTATTGAGTCATACATACACATATAAAGGACAACATAATTTTGTGTTCAGTCATTCATATGTTACCATAAAATAAGTTTATAGTTATCAAAACAAATTTATAATTTGATGCATAAATATCAATTGTTTATTACAATTTTATCTTATGTCTAAAAAATATATATGAAATTGTATTCTTAAATAAATTTAAATTACTATTAATATTTTATATGTAAATTATTATTTTTTCTCTTAATCTAATCTTTATCAATTTCAACAAATTAAAAGTGAAAATAAAAATAAAAATATAATAATTTTATTTCAAATAAAAATAATAGCATTTATAAATAAATAATATTTTTTATTAATATTTAAATTAAAATAAAATATCATACAAAAATACAATAAAATATACACATAGTACTTTTGAGTTTTTTAACGAATTAAAAAAATATGTTTAATGCCTTTTTTGTTGCGTATATAAATCCTGTGATTCATTTTAATCCAGTAACTTAAAAAAAGTCTATACTAATCACTTAATTATTCAAAATGTATAATGTTAGTCATTTTCGGTTAATTAGCGACAAAAAAAATTAAAAAATTAGTCATTAAATTCGTAGTTAATTAGATAAAAAAATTAATATAATACGTTTTGAAAAATTAAAAGATCAATATCAATATTTTTAAGTTAAAAGATCAAAATGAACATAAGAGAAAAAAAAATATTAAGCCAAAAAAATATAACAGTTTATATGATTTTGTAACATAATATAATTTTGTAACAAAACAACCGAGACACATCTAAACTAATACAATTTTTTACAAATTTTAGTTTAATTCGATTAAATTATTAATTTTCTATTAGACCGATTCTGGTTTGAATACTCCTATGATCAACCACAAAAATGCTATTAATAAAGTTTAAACATAAAATTATTCATTATTTTATCAATATTTATTAAACTTAACTTATAAGGTTTTTATTAATTAATGAAATTAATTTTTTTTATTTTAAATTTGAATAATTATAATTTTTCTATATGTTTTTTTTATACCGATAAAGTATTAATTTTTGTTAATTATATTTTTTATTTATAAGATTCTAAGATTTTTTTAACGACAATAAAATTTTCAATACAATTATTAGTCATATTTCACAAATATTCGTATTAATATACATTATTATTTTTAAATAAAAATGTGAGAGAAAACACTTATTTAAATTTTAAATAGAAGGATTAATTTTATAAATAACTAAAACATAAAAACTGTAATTAACATGTTTAATATTATTATTTCAAAATATTTTTAAATAAATTTATAATATTGTTTCTTACCCATCAGTAGTAGTAGTAGGGACACGGCGGTTATTTGCGATTGGTATTTTCCATTCGACCGTTTCCCCAATATTCTACTACGTGGCAACATGCAACCTGTTAGACAAACCCAACGCCTCGTCTTTTCATCGTTTTTATAGGTCCACATCTCATAAGCCGTTAGATCTAATCCCTAACCATAACTTAACCCCACAACACAACTTTTCTACGCAATTCATTAAAACTAACCCTAACTTAACCATGGTTAAGTTAACTAACATACACGAAACTCTTATTATGTCAAAAACACCCTCGTTATTCCAATTAATCACTCTTCCGCCCTCTTTCGTTCGCCACCTATTTAACCAGCCTCCGAGACTCGCTAGGTTTGCCAAATCAATTTCCCAAAGGGGTCCTTAATAGGACTCAACCCTAACCCTAGCAGCCTCTCTCTCCTTTCTCTCTCTCTCTCTCTCTAAAATGTCTTCTTCATCTTCTCGAGAAAAACCTAGTGGGCCAGTCCTTCGTTCTCTTTCACCTTCTGGTAGATTTTGTTCCTATACACAATCTAGAACCCCTTTCTCTACACCATCATCAGCTTTCGCTTCTTCCATTAACTCCTCCTTTTCATCACCTTCTTCATCTTTTCACATAGAAAATAATGATAATCACTACAATCACCATCATCATAATTATCAACACAATAGCCACCACCGTTCAGCTTCACCCACACGCGTCAATCTATACACCCAAAACTCTCGATCTGCCGGTTTACGATTCTCGATCGATCCCCGGTCAATCTCACCGAACCGGTCGATTTCGAATCATGTTATTACAACCAAAAAGAACCGTCCGATTCCGGCTCAGAAAAAGACATGTATGTGTTCGCCAACAAATCATCCCGGTTCTTTCAGATGCAGTCTTCACAAGAACATTGGGAGTCAAAACACAAGTGCTGATTCGTATCCTTCAACCCGGCTCAACATGCGTAGATCTGCGATGAAGAATTCGCTCGTGAGGATCGGTGGTGTGGAAGGAGAATGGGTGAAACGAGCTTTGACAGCGTTGATTCGACCGTCTTCGCATCAACAGAGGAGGAGATCGGCGTTCGAGCCAAGACCTAGTCGTCTCTCCGTCATGACAAAGGCTGAAGATCTTTGATATTGCCTGTTTTCGTTTTTCAGGTTTGATCTTGCTTATCACGCTTTTGCGGTGGTTGATTTACACCCACTGCGTTGATCTGCCGCCAGATCGGTAGATCCCGGCGTGCTCTTAGGTTAAAGCGTGTCATCTCCGGCAAGTTTTTGGAAGCATATTGATGAATCAAATATCAGAAACAACCGTTGAAGAATTTTGAATAGATCTATTGAGATTGGATTTGGACTCATCATCGTCATCAGTATTGCATTTTGTACATAACATTTGCTATGGAAGCTGAGAATATTGGACTTTTTGTTTATTTTCCAGTAACAAAATCATTTTATAAAAATTATCATTTAATTAATTTATCTAATCAATATATGACAGACCTAATTAATTTAATAAAATTATAACTATAATTTTAACCTAAAATTTGGTATTGTAACCTCCATTAACATTTGCATTCTTCTCCGTTCTCTTTGCAGCGTATTGTGACTGACTACGTTATTTCGTCCTTCGCCATTCCCCGTTTCCGTTTGGGTTCTTCCGTTGTGTGTGGACCGTTCCGTTCACCTGTGTGCCGTGACGTACGTTACGTTCGTTCAGTTGCGTATGGTGTCAGGTATTTTATTTTAAATTTTTATGTTATGTTAATTATTTTATTATTTATTTAAAATTCTCATGTATCTGTTTAATTTTAATTGATTTGTTTATTTTTTTCATTTTATTTGCAGGGTGGTTGTTTAAGTGGACCAATGATGTGAAACGAATCATTTAATTGGAAATTATTAGTAGTAATAAATTTGTTGAAAGCTGGAAGAATTAATGGACATCTGTATACAACCTGTGCGGGAAGGAGCTCCTTGTTTTTTTGGACATAAAGAAAAATAAATATTATTGACCAAATAAATTAAAATAAATAACAATTATTGACCAAATAAAATAAAAAAAACAATTAAGAGGAATAAATTTAATTTAAAATTAGAGTACCAACTTGTTTGAAAAATACATAAAATATTAGTAAATATTAGCCTCCAAAATCATGGTCCACACGGAATGGGGAAAAATTCAAAATTGAAACTTGTTAATGAGACATTGTCAACACAAGATAACTAGCTGGCTATAGGCTGTTTCTAAGAAATAAATTGGGATGTGAATTTCTTGAATCTCTATTTTGATTGGTCAAAAAAGTAGAAAAAGGAGAGAAACATAGACAAGTCACAAGCGTTGCTTATAATCGACGCATTGTTGATATTGGCAGTATTGAATATTTTGGTACTAGTAGTAGGCTAGTGGATTAGATTAGATTAGGAATAGAGCGCAAAGTGTCCAAAAGTGGTCCAGCTGGTTAACCTGACTTGATTGATATCCATACATGTGTCGTGTTCAGCGTAGCATATTATCTTTATCTTCATAAATAAACAGCTAGCGGGTGGCATGTCAGAATTGCATCCTTACTTTCTACCTGATTTGTGGGCCACAACTAACCGTTCTCTATTCGGTACATCTACACCCATCCAAACAATTACGCCTTTTGGCTTTTCTTCAACTTATTTTGGAGTTGGGTTGTCGCACTAATTATATATGGTTTTGTCATAACTGCCACGCACCTACTTGGCCCTTATTACATGTGATACGCCATAGGACTTAATTAGACATATTTATACTTGGAGCTTAAAACTTCTTTGCCGACTTGGTATTTGGTTTGTAGTCCGTCTTGAGTTTTAACACTTATTCGAAATCTACCACAAATGTAGTATCAAGAAGGTATACTGTGACCAATATGAAACCTAGTTAATCTGGTATGGTTAGATTAGACAATTATGACATATGTTAGGAGGTTAAGAAAGTTAGTGTTACTAGTCGGACATTTATTTGCTTTACAAGTAAGCACTTTTACTAAACCACTAAGTGACTTTTGTTCTTTGAATCCCTTTGTAATCACTTGTATAAAATGGAATCTTCATGCCATTATCTATTTAAGAGAAATTCAATCTTTAGGAACAAGAAAAGGGATGAACACTTATAATAGTAACGCTAAGAAGCCACCAAAAAAGAAGAAGAAAAGACATTAAAAAAACGTTATAGTTGCAAAAGCTCATGGAGTTCGTGTATAAAAGACATAATAATTACAAAAAAGGTTAATGGTAAGTCTGGAGGTTTTTTTTCCTCTTGTCAAGTCTAAGGATAGTTAAGATAAAACCTCTAAAACATTTATCTTGTGTTGTTGTGATCACAAACGATATCTTTCAACAAATAAAGATTGAGAAACGAAGTTCTTGGGTGAACAATGAAGAACGGTTAGAACAAAGAGAGAAAGAAGAGAGGATAAAGAAGAAAGAAGGATTCTTGAACAAACTAATTTCTATTCACTTTCTCATATAGGGTTTACAAATGATTACAAGTGAATAACACAATTGGCCTCACTCAACAGCCGGAGTGATCTAGCCTATTTATAAACTAACTACCTAACTTACATTACAAGCTAACTAAATAATTGGATCCATAACACAAGGCCCAATACGACATAATAATTCGACACTACATACTAGAATTGACTTCGACTACCGTACATAAACACTTCGACCTCAGCATGTGAACAATCTTCGCCTTCATGCTTGTCTCTTATTGAAACACATAAAAGTTATCCCTTGATAGAACTAGAGTTCGATCCAAAATCTCACAAATTTCCACATTAGATCTAACTCTACAAACAATAGGGAATAAACTAGCTTTCATCATGTAGCTTTATCAACTGCATACAGTGGAAAAACTTGCAACTCGGCAATGTCTTGGTGATCATATCAGCAACATTGTCATCAGTCGAAACCTTTAGCACTTGGACTTCACCGTGCTCGATTATCTCTCTGATGAAGTGTAACCTCACATCGATGTGCTTGGTTCGCTCATGATAGGCTGAGTTCTTTGACAGATGTATTGCACTTTTACTATCACATTTAACAGTGATACTTCGACCTTAAAGTTTCAGCTCTTTTGCAAAACCTTCAAGCCATAATGCTTCTTTCACAGCTTCAGTGAGGGCAATATATTCTGATTCAATGGTTGATAAGGCAAAAACCTTCTGAAGCGTTGCTTTTCAACTGATTGTTATGCCGAACATAGTGAAAACATATCCATAAATAAACTTTCTGGAATCTATACAACCTGCATAATCAGACTCGACAAATCCTTCGATTTTGACTTTGCTATCATCACCACAGGCTCCATCGTAAATCAGGACTCGATTCACAGACTCATTTATGTACTTGAGAATCCACTTTAAAGCTTTATAGTGCACCTTTCCAGAATTGATCATATACCTACTTACAAGGCTCACTCAATACGCTATGTCTGGCCTCGTACATACCATGACATACATAAAAAACAAACCACACTAGCATATGAAATGCTACTCATATAGATTCTTTCAGCTTCAGTACTAAGACTTTGAGTAGTACTAAGCTTAAACTAAGGATTTGTTGGAGTCACAACATACTTTGAATTCGACATACCAAACTTGTCGAGAAGCTTCCGTAGGTATGTCTCTTGAGATAAGCACAACTTCGACTACTTTCTATTTTTCCGGATGTCAATCCCAAGAATCCTGGTGGCAACTTCCAGATCCTTCATTTCAAACTCCTTATTGAATTCAGCCTTCACATCCATTACATCCTCGACACATATTTTAGCTATGAGGATATCATCCACATAAAGCAACAAAATAACAAGTGAGTTTTCAAGTCGAAAGCTGAAGTAAACACAATGATCGAACTGACTCCTAGTAAAACCAATGTGTGTCATTAACTTGTCAACCCTCCTATTCCAATGTCGAGGAGATTGTTTCAAGCCATACAAAGACCTATTTATCTTGCACACATAATCTTCCTTATCCTTTTCTGCATACCCTTCAGGTTGTCGCATCATAATCGTTTTGTCTAGATCACCATACAGAAATGTTGTCTCCACATCCAGCTGTTCAAGTTCCATCGAACTTTGCCACCATGGTTAACAACATTCTAATCGATCTATTCTTTATAATAGGTGAGAACATATCATTGAAGTCAACACCTTCTTTCTGAGTAAACTCCCTAAAAACCAACCTTTCCTTGAAGCGTTTCGACATCATTCATTTGATTCCTTCCTTGACCTTGAAAATCAACTTACAACTGACTAACCTGGCCCCTGCAGGTTTCTCAATCAGCTCCCAAGTGTTATTATTATGAAGAGATTTCATCTCGTCATCCATGACTTTTCACCATTCAGTCTTGTTTCGAATCCTTATGGCTTCCTTGTAGTATCTAGGTTCTTCCTAAAGTACCTCACTTGCAGAGGTTAAGACAAAAGCTATAAGATCTGCATAACCAAGTCTCTGAGGTGGCTTGATGACTCTTCTCAATCTATCTCTTGCCAGTAGGTAGTCATTGACAGTTTCCTCAGTCTCATCAGCATCTTGCTCTTCTTCTTCAACTTCATTTGAGTTACGCACTTCAGCAGCACTATGCTCCACCTCAACCAGAATCTCTACATGTTCCAGCTCCTCTTCATAGATTTCTTCACTTTGACCAACATCACCAGTTTTCTTAAACGTCATTTCGACTTCATTGAAAACTACATCACGACTTGTGATACATCTTTTGTGACCTGGTTCTAGGCACCACAACCAATAACCCTTGACTCCCTCAAGATATCCAAGGAACATGCATCTCAGAGTTGTAGGTTCGATCTTGTCTTGCTGTTTCCCTTGAAAATCGGAAAACAACCGCTGATCTTCCAAATTTGACTTTGGTGACTCACAGGATCGATCAGATTGATCCTAGGACATGTGCTAAAGTATTCTTCGTTTAGAATTAGATTTAAAGTACTTGTAATAACGAATTGGTAAATGTACTTGTAATGAAAAAGACTTCGACTGGGTATTTTAAAGTGCATAAACTTAAAGAAACGCTGTAAAAGATTTGTAAAAGGCTGATCGAAGAAGGTAAAAAGTTTAAAGGAAAAGAGGAATTGGAGTAAAGGATGCA